GAACCAGGTCCCAGAGTTCAGCTGCAGGTCAGAGACCATGGACTGTGTAGACCTGTGTTTTCCCAGGAGAACAGCAGAACCAGGTGAGGAGGACCGGGGTCAGGGAGGAGCTTCAGAGAACTGGACTGAGGTCTGAAGACTTCAGTTCATTTCTAATATTTGATCAATTTTGAAAAATGTCAAGACAGATGTTTTCACTTTGTGATTATAGATTATTGATTGATGGGTAAAAACACTGAATTTCAGTCGACAGCAGAATAAAGTGAAGGGGTCTGGATACTTCCTGAAGTCACAGCTCCAGTTCTCAGGTGTTTCTCCTCAGGGAACCGGATTGAGGAAATCATCATCATCTTCACGGAGGCGGGACACGTGTGGAGCGTGAGGTAAAATACGGCCTGTAATAAAACCTGTGGAGCTGCGAAGTGAGATGATGATGATGATGATGATGATGATGATGATGGCGGTGCTATTCAGTGTAAGTTGATGTGTCGATTTGAAAGGCGGAGGCGTGACGCTGACCTGCTCCTGCTGCAGAGCCTTCACGAAGGCGTTCTTCAGCCTGTTGGTGTGCTCCGCCTTCAGAGCCTTCTTCTGATTGGACGTCATGCACTGCTCACAGAGGATTCGCCCGCTCTTCTCTTGCTTCCAGTGAGGGGTGAAGTCGGTTCTGCACTGGGCGCAGAAGAACGGCTCCATGCGGGCCAGCGTCCCTCTGAGTTTACCTGCAGAGACACAGGGACAGGTGGGCTGAGGACAGTGAGGGACAGACACTGGATGATGGAAACACACAGACACCTTTCAGTTTCTGTCTGAAGGTGGAGACGCTGCAGCTCCTCCTCAGGTTTACGTTCACACACTTACCCTGACTGTCGAGCACACTCTGCACCACCTCCTCTAGGCCCACCATGTAGATGAACTCGCTGTTGGCGGCGGAGGGCAGGAAGTGGAGGAGCGGGGCGGGGGGTTTCGGGGGAGGGATCTCCAGCAGGGTTTTCTCCAGCTGCTTCCTGAGGGCCAGCTTGGCCGCCGCCTGGCTGCTGGCCTGGTCGGCCATGGAGCTCACCCCTCCGCTGGCCGACCCAGACATGGTGGACGGGCTGACGGCCGAAGACCCGCCCAGGCCGCCGGCTACCCCGCCGGCCCCCGCCGCCGCCGCCGCTTGCATGTGGGCCAGGTTCATGTACATGGCGCTGGAGCCTGAGCGCTGGGACGCTGCCACCTGCTGGCTGGCCTGTGAGGAGACACACAAGTTCATGATGACACACGGTTCAGTACGTCTGCTGCAGGTGTTGGTGTTCGTACGTCAGTTTGTCAGTGGGATCTTTAGGTGGTGACAGTGTCGGGTTGTGAGACTGAGGTTTTCACAGGTTCAGGTCTGAGTGTTTCTAAGACCTGAGCGGATCCAAACAGACTCTCTGGGTCTGATGGTTCTGATGGGTCTCAGGTTCTCATGATAGAGTCCGACTGTCCTGACCTTCAGGAGCCGGGTGTCTGTGAGTGGGACCTGTTTTGTTCGTCTCATGAAGACGCACAAGGACTCCCACGTGTAGGTGATGTCACCAGTGATGTCACACTGCTGATCTACAGGTGGTGGTAACATGTTAACATGTGCAGCGATGCACCAACAAAGGCACAGAAGAAGAAACGTGCACATAAAGAATACAGGATTTTAAAATATTCAGAAAACAAATACTTTATGATTACCTGTGGTGACCTGTGGTGACCTGTGGTGACGTGTGGTGACCTGTGGTGACCTGTGGTGACCTGTGACCTGTGATGGCAGTGATCAGGTGTGCTGTAGCTGGGCTCTGAATGAGTCCATACCTGCTGGTAGCTGACGGCGTTGGCCATGCTGCTGGAGCTGGAGCGAGACATCCCAGGCTTGGAGGAGACCCTCTGGCCCTGCAGCTGGGCGGGGTTGGGGGCTATCACTCGCTGGGACATTAGCATGGGCGGCAGGTTAGCATTAGCTGCTGACCTGATGACTGTGTGACCCTGCAGAGAGGAAAGACAGAGCTTTGAGTTTCATGACAGGAAGAGTCGAGGCCTCTCGTTGACACGTTTCAACTGTCAGTGGAAATCAGAAGCAGCTTTTCCAAGATGGCGGATCTCATGTGTCGTTAGCGGCTTACGCTCACACACACACACACGTGACTCACATCTACAGCTGATTCTGATTGGCTGTGTTCTTCCTCATTTTACATCAAATAATAGCCGGGGGCGTGGCCAGAACGGACACACAAAGGCCAGGTAAACCCACTACAGTCACATTACACTCACACTGAGGTCATCTCTACTCCTGATCCATCTTAAAACAACATCAACAAAACTCAGCACTTCCTGGTGTTTTTCACATTAAAAGCATGGTTTTTTTATGTGATAATTCTGGAGGAAGTGATGAAGTTGTGTTCATGTGTCTGATGAGTGACGTACAGAGCAGTAAACAGTCTGTGTGTCCTTCAGTGTGTGACAGGTGTACTCAGGTGAGCAAACTAATGTAAACACTGTAGTTTATAAACTTAGTCCCATGACACCTCAGTCAAACTTCATGTTCACTGGTTCCATTAATCCGTTTTAACTGAGCTGCTCCTGAACGTCTCATCTGTGAAGAAGCTGCTGCAGCTTTGGACTCTTTTTAAAACAGTGTGTGTGTGTGTGTGTGTGTGTGTGTGTGTGTGTGTGTGTAATTATTATTATTATTATTATTGTGTTTAGTTCAAGTACCTCAGGACATTCTGGCTCTCAGGTAAAACTAACAGAGGTTCTGGATGAAGGTGGGGTTTATTACAGGGCTATTGTGTTAGCATTAGCTTTAGCCACAACACTGTGTATATCTCCTTTTAGTATACAAGGTATTTATGATGAGATACTCAGAGCTGACAGCAGGGGGCAGAACATCACCATCCAAACAAAACAGGCCGATAAGACACACACACACACACACACACACACACACACACACACACACACACACACACAGCTGAATATTTAATACCATCTTAACATGTAATGGAGGAGCAGAGCTACATGAAGAACAAAAGGCTGTTTCATCATCAGAGAGGAGAGTCCTCCTGTTAGTCTGCGCCAGCATCTTAATCCTGGTTCAACCTGCACCTCCATCTTACATCATAATTATAAACTTTATTTAAACAGACCTTTCTGCACAAAGTTACAGAAGGACAAGAACAAGGAAACACGACACAGAGGAATTGAAAACAGGAATAATCAGAATAAAGAGTTTATAACCACGACAACACCAAACACGTCAGTCACTCAGTCAGTCAGGTCTAGGCCCAGACTAAATGGTGAAGACCAGGACCAGGACCAGGACCAGGACCAGGACCAGGACCAGATGTAGCACAGTCACATTCACCCCTAACTTAGTTCCTCAGTGATTCAGACCAGGGGCCGGTTCATGTCAGACTGGTCTGTCGTGTCAGTTCAGTCACAGCCAGACAAAATAAACACCTAACCACCAGGTTAACCTCAGGTCTAAGAACAATGTAGCACCCAACAACAAAAAACAGGAAAACATGGCTCATACTCTGTGGTTTGCTGACATTTTATTTGGAAAAAAGTCTTAATTTACCCAGAATTCATTGTACCACAGTCCGGCTTCAGATAGTCAAGAGCTAAACTGCTTCGTGCAGCAGTTGAATTCAGACTCGGTCTCTCTGAAGTCTGAAACCGGCCCCTGGACTTCTTTAGACCTGGTGGACTCACATGAACCAGATGTTTCTTAAAGGGAGGTTGCAGATATGATGGAGCTGCACCAGAAGACAGGTGACACACTGCACAGCCAGGTGAGCGTGATGTTAGGTCAGCTGACCACACATGACCGTAACAAACAAACCCTGACACTAATTGTGATGATAAAATCACCTGGAGGTCTGGACTGATTTCTGACCCAGCTTCACCTTCTGTTAGCTGCCTTAGCTAACTAACCTGCTGCTAGCTCCTACGACCACACACACACACACACACACACACACACACACAGACACACACACAGACACACACACACACACACACCACACACACACAGGCGGAGGTTCTGGGGCTCAGGGTTGTGCAGGCCCGGCCTCACAGGCAGCTTCCCCAGGCCAGGAGAGCTGTGGATGGGAGGGGGCTGAACGGAGGACGCGGCGTTCTGGACCACCGGGACCTGGACATCAACGACAACATGAACAATGACTTGTAGCAGCGCAGACTCCTGGACACTGACATGCACATAAATTATATTTCATTTACAGCTTCACCATAGTGACAGTCGCCATAGTAACAGTCAATCAGACCGAACAGAGTACGGAGAGATCCTTAATGAAAACCTGGTCCAGAGGCTCGGGACCTCCGACTGGGCCAAAGGTCACAGGAGGAGCTGGAGAGACGTGAACATCTGTCCACACACGTCCCCATCCTACCTGACTGAGCCTGAGTCCAGGTGTGTAAAGTTTGTGACATCACAGCCACGAAGACTGAAGGCTGAAGGTGTGTAAAGGGTCTGAATACTTTCTGAATGCATTGTAGGAAACGGGCTTTAATGTAGAAAAACACTGGGCTGGTCGTTAGCATGGAGTTTCCATCACTACAGTAACCATAGTAACCACGGTGTAGTGCAGTAAAAGTACTGAACGAACCAGAGTAAAAGAAACATTTCACATGAATCTACAGCATCTGCTGGATTACAACTGTTGACGCTTTAACCCTCTGAGGTCGACCCATGTTTCTATTAATGTCTTTGCGATAACGCAGAGTAGAAATATGATTTAAATGTTGTTAGAATCTGTCGACTCTCCACTTTCCCTCACAGATTCTTGTGGGATCATACGTGGCTAACAGCCTCTCAAATCTGGTTAAAGTACAGTGAAGACACAACACAAAACTTTATTATCCATTCATCTACTATTTTACTCATATATTGCACTATTTTTATGAACCTATAGACTTCGGTGAACACATGTCAAGCACCAAAACAATTCGTAAAGTTTTGTTTTCACAAAATATTTGAAGAATTTCGAAAAACAAGACTTCAATTTTTCTCTTTGTCTTTATAAAAAGAGCTGATATTGTTCTGAAAATTGTGATGTAAAACACTTGGGTATTATTTTATGTGCAAGTGCCCTTTAAATGGAGAAAATAGCCTTTGACCTCAGAGGGTTAACGTGTAAACACTGGTGCATCATTAAGTCTCACTGACGCTGCAGCTGGTGAAGGTGACGCCGATTTCATCGACTTCATATCAATAAATCAGCTGTTCCAACATTTTTCCTCTAAAAATAAAAGCAAGTTGAAGTTCTTCAGTCTGTACTAAAGTAAATGTCCTTCATTACATTCCACCAGCAGGTACAGACAGGTAGAGACAGGTAGTGTCCAGCAGTGTAATGAGTGGGTGGGGGTCTGTCGCTCTCACCTTCTGCACCACGTTCTCCTTCTGCATCTGACTCTGTCTGAGCTTCTTCAGCAGAACCAGACGAGCCTCCTCCAGACGCAGCTCCTCCCTCAGAGCTTTGATCATCTGCTGCCTCTCCTCTCCCGTCTTCCCCTGCAACACACACACACACACACACACACACACACACACACACACAGTATCTTATTAGCTCTAAAAGCTCTTCTCAAAGTGCGGTGGTCTGCAAGCGACCCCCTGTATATGTGTTGTTTTAAACATCAAATCAACTCATATGTAAATTCCAATTCAAACATCATTATTCTATATGAATCAGCTGTTTTACAGTGTAGCTGGACTTGAGTGTAACACTGCCGACTCACGTAGTTTCGACGGTTTGTTTTACTATTAACGTTAAAAATGATCAGAGTGACATTTGAACGGAGCTGTGGATGAAGCTAACAGTTAGCCTCCCTGGGACAGAGCTAAAGTTCACCATTTATCAGGCTGTTCATCATCAAACAGGGAGAGTTGACCAGGAAATCACATATCGGACACAACAGGAAGTGTTTCGGTGTTGAGTTTCAGTCGTAATGTCTTCACCATGACTGAGACTCGTGGTGCGTTTGATGACATCCGGCCAGTGTTCATGTGTGTGTGAATATTCTGATGTTACATAAACGACACTTGTAGCTGTGCAGTGTGTGAGCCGCAGAGTTTCCTGATAATCGAAACGCTTCACGTGATTGAGGTGAACAGATAGCCGAGTGGTGAAGGTGCTCTGAGCTTCTGAGTGTCACTGGTTCGATTCCTGGCATGTTCTGTGGCTTCAGTGTGTTCACTGACTCCTTGTAGTGGTGCAGTGATGGTTCTACCTTGAACATGTCCAGGTTGGCCTGGTGCAGGCGCTCCTCAGGGCGAGGTGTGGTTCTGGGACTGGACGCCTCGTTGTCTGACAGGATGATGACGTCCGGAGACGGAGTTCTTCTGTCATGCTCCGAATCACTTCATGGGAAAACAAACAGTAAATGTTAAATGACTGAACTTGTCTTTTATTATCGTCATCTGACCTTTCACTCACACAGACGCTCAGTCACTCAGGATCGTCACCGGTCCAGTCCTACGCTGTGATTCGGTCTCTGACGTGCTGATGTTCAGAACATCTCGACCTCAGTGTGATATTACTTTTACAACAGTTAAATAAACAACAACACATTATGATTTGTTTGTTTATTTCATCATTTATTTGTCTACACCAACACAAATAGTTCCATCTGGACCGGTACTGGACTGTTGCTAAGCAACACATAAACATAGTCCTGACCTGCACAGTGACACTAGCTGCGACCTCGTCTCCTGTCTCCTCGTTACCTCTGACGAACGCACATCGTTTCATTCAAAGGTTATTTATGGAAATATTTTCATCTTTTGTTACAGTCTGAGATCGATAACGATGTTAATGTGACGCTAATTAACAGTTAATAGAACAGCTGTGGAGCGGAGTGATACATGGAGTTAAAAGTCCCAGTGCTGTTATTCTCTATATCAGCCTCATGGAACGACTCTCGTCCAATCAGATTACTTGATCAGAACTAACTGTTGCATGAAATGATCTAGTCATGGTCTGTGGCTGCACTAAACCGCAGAGTGAAAACTACACATCTGTGTCATCACTGTGACATCATAACGTAGGGACAGGAAGTGGACTGTGGAGCTCTGCTGTGCAAAAAGACCAACGGAGCGGTGAGTCGGTCTCTAACCGTCTGACTGCCTCAGACAGTCGGTGAGTGTGTCATCACTGACCAACAGCTGGAGGAGTATGCTGTGAAGAGTGTGTGAAGCACGTGTGAAGCTAACGTTAGCTCCGACAGCTACAGACCGCTAACATTAACTGTTTAGAAACCAGATGAGTTTGTTTGAGACCACAGAAAGACAGCGGCTCAAAGTCACGTAGTCATGTAGGAGGAAACAGGTTGTGGATACAGGATCCAGATTGATCACATGATATAAATAAACTTTATCATTATTATTATTGTTGTCATTATTCCTTCAGGTAGAGGGAAACTGTGACAGTGAGAACAGGTTTCCTGGTTCATGCTGGCTAGTAGTTCACTGGGAGCCGTAGTTTCCCTCCCTCCTGTCTGTCTGTGGGACGTGGTTGGACACTTACAGTAACACAATCTTTTCGGTTCCACTTTATAATAAGACGACCCTGATAAAAGATTGATAAATGGTTTATGATTAGGTTATTTATTTGGTTGTAAACACTTTATAAACCATTCATTAATCCTTTATAAGGGGAGTGTGATTGTAAAGTGGAACCTTTATGGTTCTTCATGTGTAAACACTCACCATCTTCTCCCAGCGCTCATGTCCACCGGCTCATCCAGGATGTTCTCCTTCCCGTTCTTACTGGGTCCAACATGGCCGCTGTGGCCTCCCAGCCGCAGACTCCCGTTCATCTTCTCCTCATAAGCAGCACCCATTAGGCTCTGGTGGTGGAGGGAGCTGGCTCCGGGGCCCTTCCCGTCTCCCAGGGGCCCCGCGACCTCCAGGGCTGCTAGGTCAGCTAGGTCCTTACGTTTGAGTAATGCCAGCATCTTGAGGCGCTCCATGGCCTCGTGGCCCTCCATCTTGAGGCGCTTGGCCAGCGCCTCCTCTCGCTCGCTGGGTGACTCCAGGCCTCGCTTCAGCAGGTTGAGCCTCAGCGCCTCCTCAGACATCCGCTCCATCCTGGAGGACAGGACACGGGGGTTGACAGAGACACAGACATCAATCCCCAAGATCTCCAGTTTCTTAAAGCTACAGTACGTAACATGTTTCTATTGTCTTAATGTGGAGAAGGGCTGTGACCAATACTAAGAGAATCTGTGACCTGATCATCAATATAAACAATTCATCATAGAAGGAACTTTTTCTTTTTTAGATGTGTCATTGTACACAGAGCAACACAGGACAGCAGCATGACAGGAGAGATGGAGAGATGGACAGGACGACCAAACCCTGGATAAAATATACGATGTGGAAACAAACATAATCACTGCAGGACGTTCCGTCACATGGTATTTTATTAAAACATATATCATTAAATATATAGAACACATATATTGAAGAGAAAACATCACACAGCCCTGAGCTGGTGCTGGAGTGTCGGGGACTCGTCCTTTATGGACCATGAAGTCCATTCTAGTTGAAACGCCCAGCTGGATGGACAGACTGACCGACAGTGTGCATCGAGGCAGAGCTCTAGATCCCACACCACCTGGGTGATATGAATATATAATCAATATGTAATCAATATAACCCCAGTGACCTGAGGATCAGCGCAGTGACACAGGGTGATTATCAGACTGTATGAGCAGCTGATGGCTCATTCAGATGGAAGTGGGTTAAACATGGCGGCTAAGAATAGCCTGGTCTCTGTACCGAGGACAAACACATGTGAGAAATGTTTGATGTCTCCGTGTGTGATTCATACCAGCAAGGAAGGCTTTTGTAAGGACGACAACAAGCCGAGTCTTATGAGCACATTAGCTTAGTCATGTGACCAGCTTCAGCATGGGCGCTCACAGGACAGTGAACCAATCACGATGCTGCAGCAGAGACGTGTAGACCCTCTGTCAAACACTGTCCCTCTTTTAAGTCTCACTGCAGATGTCAGAGCACTGAAGGAGGATTCTCATCTGGACTCATCTGGATTCATCTAGACTCATCTGGACTCATCTGGACTCTCATCTGGACTCTCATCTGGATTCATCTGGACTCTCATCTGGATTAATCTGGACTCATCTGGATTCATCTAGACTCATCTGGACTCATCTGGACTCATCTGGATTCATCTGGACTCATCTGGATTCATCTGGACTCATCTGGACTCATCTAGACTTTCATCTGGACTCATCTGGACTTTCATCTGGACTCATCTGGATTCATCTGGACTCATCTGGACTCATCTAGACTTTCATCTGGACTCATCTGGACTCTCCTCTGGACTCATCTGGATTCATCTGGACTCATCTGGACTCATCTAGACTTTCATCTGGACTCATCTAGACTCATCTGGACTCATCTGGACTCTCCTCTGGACTCATCTGGATTCATCTAGACTCATCTGGATTCATCTGGACTCATCTGGATTCATCTGGACTGTCATGGCGGCTCACAAGCACAAATAATCACACTTACTGCCAGACGAGAGCGGATCAGTGACAAGTTATCAGAGTCAGACAACCTTTAGTATTTCAGACGACTTCCTGTCTGTTGTTGCCTGAATTAAAACAGCTCACACAACTTCATTCTGTCCACGCCGACAGCTTTTGTACTTTGCCACAAAAAAAGCCACAGGGATTTAAAATGACAACCTGCTAGCGAGCTAACGTCACCTGCCTTTCATTATTAGATTGTTAACACTGCTGTGTGACTGGGTTAGCAGCATGTCACTGTTTATAGCTGGTTGTAAATGTGAAATCAGGGGGAACACTGCAGCTGGTAGATCTACAGAATATAAAATGTTCATGTTGGATGCAAAAGTATTGGGTTTTTTTTCTCTCTCTTTACAAGTAATTTCTTTAAAGTTTGGTTTTAGTCTTTGACCCGTTACTGTGGTTTGTATTTACACTTAAATAAAAACTACACATTCGGTCGACAGCAGCTGAGGTTGTTGTGTCCCTACAGATGACTCGGCCACTTCCTGCTCTCTCGCCTCCAGAGTGAGCGGCTACTCCTCATCCCATTGCCTTCTGGGAAACGCAGCAGAGCCATGGAAACCCACACCTCAAGACTTTACCCAGAGCCACAGTTTGTTACTGGCCCGCTTATCTCGTTATTTATAGGATTAGAAATGTGCAATGAAAATATAAAATAAATGTATATTCTATTCACAAAGGAATATTTTCATTGTGAAGAGTTGGTTTTTATTGCTCCACATGTTCCAGTGATGTTCCAGTGACTGGGACCAGCGGCATCATGTGTGTGGCCAGACGACATGCAAATGGACGCTTTCATCTCCCACACTGCACCACGGCATCGGCAACACCTGGACCGACACCGGGTGTTGGCACAAGAAAACCCTGCGTGGCGGAGCATCACTGACTGTAATTCAGAGATTTAATTGGCCCGTTATCTCTTCATCAACTTCCTATTAGCAGATTATTCCTGCTGGTGTCGTTCTATCGTTTCCCCTCATCTCCTGTATCGCAGCGCTCTAATCTGTTCATTCTGTCCTCCTCTAATGTCTCCGTTATCCTCCTCTCATCTACAGCAGCCTCTTTAACGCTGGGAGGAGTCTTAATGATCACACAATACGGCCCTCCCCACCACTTCTTCTTCTTCTCTAATTAATTTGTGGCGCAGCGGTGGGGCCCAGTCATCGCCTCCATTTGCAGAGAAAAACACGAGCAGCTCCTGCAACCTCTCCGCCGAGAGCCTCCACCTTTAATGAGACACAGAGAGCCGCTGAGGACGGCGCTGATGAGCCAATCAGGGTCGGCCTTGAGCTTGCGCGTCAGTAACTGGCACCCCCCCTCGTCCCCCTCCCCCCCCCCTCTCCCTGGCCACCGCCCGCCGCCACTGCCTTTACATAATATAATGACTGTTTCAGTCAGCTGCTAAAACAAGCCACACACTCTTTCTCTTCAACCACCCCCCCCCCCCACCTCTTCCTCCCATAATCCCTCCTACCACCTCCCACCCACCCCACCCTCTCTAGCTTTGGGCGCTCTGCCAGGCCATTGCAATAAAGGAAAAGAGAAGAAAGAGAGACATGGCGAGAGGGAGAGAGACCGACCTAAAGACAGAATCACACTTTTAACAAAGTCACCATGGAGACACATGGAGACACATGGAGACACATGGAGACACATGGACAGGTAGACGAGTTTATCATGAATCTGATAAAGGTCGAAGACGCAGCCTCCGTCATTCAGCGGTGCGTCGACGGCGTCCAGACATCCACGTACGGCATTCCTACAGAAGGCAGGATCCTGTAACCCCCCCTCTCCTGCTCCAGCTGTACAGTACCACAAAGAAAACCCTCCCTGCTCCTCTACCCTCCCCCCAGTTCCTCAAATCCTCCATCTTTTCCTCCCCCCCCTCTTTCACTGTAAAAATAAACACATGCTTACTTTCAGGGGCCCCTTAAATGTAGCCAGAGCTGAGGGCTTCATTTGTTCACATTACACCGGCCAATCAGAAGTGGATATGGAGTCTGTGTAGGCATGTTGGTGTGTGTGTGAGTGTGTGTGTGTGTGTGTGTGTGTGTGTGTGTGTGTGTGTGTGTGTGTGTGTGTGTATGGGGGGTAATAAAGGAGTGACACAGCCAAGACACACTGAGAGCAGAGGGATTTTTTCTTCATCTCGTGCTATCCTCGCTCTAGTCTTTGTGTGTAGGCTGTGTGTGTGTGTGTGTGTGTGTGTGTGTGTGTGTGTGTGTGTGTGTGTGTGTGAGTGTGTGTGTGTGTGTGTGTGTACAGGGCTAGGAAAGAGGCAGAGATGGCAGCTCACTCCTGACATAATGCCAACTCTTAATTCCCTCCTCCCATCCCCCATCACAAAAACACACACACACACACACACACACACACACACACACACACACACGTTCTTTATGCAGCAATCGATCAGATGGCTGCTGCTAAAATGTCCTCCTCAGACTGAAACCGCCAGCCTTCCTCACGCTTGCACTGTAAGCCCACGGCAGGGCCCGGTCTGGCCCGGTCTGGCCCGGTCTGGCCCGGTCTGGCCCGGTCTGGCCCGTGTGACTCGACACCAGGTTAGCAGAGTTTTTTGGACGGGCCCGCTGCCAGCTGACTGAGTGTAATAGTAATAGGGCCATTTGCAACTAGCACTGTGGAATCTGCTGCTCATTTCACGCATGATCTGCATCATGACAATTCATTTGGCTGATGCAACTCCACTCCTCCCAGTCCGCCTCCTGTCTCTCCACCACCTCCACCTTCTCCTCCTCCTGGACTTTTTTTTTTTTTTTTTTACACACGACCAGGGAAGCGTTCTCCGTTTAATTTTTTAAACCATTTGATTCATTGCTGGATGTCAGGCTTATCGCTGAGGTGCAGGAGCCAGATGTGTCAGGCCTGACGCTCCATCTCCACCCAAAGACAAAAAAAAAAAAAAAAAAAAAAAAAAAAAAAAAAAGGTGCAGCAGATCACCAAACACCTCCATCTGTCATTAATCCTAACATCAAAATGGTGGTGATGGCTGCAAAATGGGAGCACTGGCACAAAACTGGCAGGACCCTCGAGCAGGATTAGTCTCATGTTGGGCTCCACATCCCGACCACATACACACTGTACCAGAACTCTAACTGTGCCGGAGCCTCGACGCTGCTCCGGTACCGACCAGCACCGGGGTGTTTACTGATTCTCTCATCGGACAATTTGAGACGTAAATCAGAGTTTTTCTTTTTCCTCTCACTGGAAAACACTTTGGAATTATTTTTTTAATAATTATTTGTGAAAATAAAATCATCAATCTGCAAAATCACCATTCATACAGTCTACACGTCGACTTCCCCATTACATCTTTAAATAAACAAGTTAAAGTATTTGTTTTCTTGGCATCTTCAAATGAGTGTTGGCAGTATTATATTATCATTATTATTATTTTTATTTTTATTAACAATAATAATAAAAGGACAAAGTCTAGTTATTGTTCAGTACTGAAATAACCAGGGGACTTTAGTCCTAAACACAGAGTTCACTAGAGGTCGTTCAGT